TACCGCTATCCAGAACGAAGATGTGATTGCACCTAATCTGAGGTGAAAGCAAGAATTCTCTTTTATATATCATCGAAATGATTACTTTGTGTGCATGTAAATATACATAATATATAGAATGAACTATCGATCATTTAAATATTATTACAAATAAATATGTGTAAGATGTGGAAAAACCATAGAATGAAAGTTTGATACTTACGTATACCCGAATAACACTCACAATACCATCGCACGTACAACTATTATGCCAACTCCAATCCGGATATGGTCGTAAAAGTGGCCCCCCTGGTCCTATCTCATCTGTTACAGTCGCCAAGGTAGCAGGTGCACCAGGACCTAGTTCTCTTGACGCAGTAATGAATATTCTACCATCTATAAGAATATTAATTATAAATAATAAGAATAGTAAGGCTAATTAGAGCTATTCGCTGTAATTAGTTAATTATAAATATTAATTATAAATATTAACTATTAATTATAAATAGGACTCTCTTGTGTCAATAAAAGATATATTTATTACGCTAATTATATGACAGTGTTATTTCTTGCATTAACATAATTAAAGTATACATTTAAAAAAAAACGCATAAATATACAATATAATCAATAGTTAAATATTAAAGTAAGCTTTTGCTGTAATAAAGGCATCTCTACAGATAATCATTGCAACTTTTATAATTGCTATATCCATTTACCTTCTGCTTTGTCTACATCGTATAACGGGAACGCAGAACGATTGTACGTGCCAGAATTTATTGCGTCTTCCTTCTGTTCGTTACTTTCCCATGTGAAGTCGGCATATTTCCATTTGTATATATAATTTACTTTGATTCCAAAACCCTCAATTACCATACATAGAATTAATAGATCACGAAAGAGATACCTCATTTTTCCCTTTGTGTATAAGTTACAGATAATAATGTTGTAACTGAGGTATTATTTAAACCGGACTTTTCCTGTTAAGGTAGGATCTTATTTGAAGTTAGAATTCTGAATTTAAAAAAAAATATTGCGTAGGTGTTCTTTTAAATAAATATTTTTTGAAAATTAATCTATGAATAGTTATTATTTTGTGTTTGCTGAAATTACATCATGTTACGATATAGAGGTAGGAAAGAAATTTTAAATAAAATCTTGTAAAGAATTTCAATAATTTAACGACACACTGTTTGTTGAGAAGAAAGCATCTCTGATACGTTTGATCTATTTGTTTTTATTGTTAATAAAGTATATATCGCACAATATTTCTCTTTGTTTTATTTAATGAATTACATTTTATGTGTTTTTAAAATGTAATGATTTGCGATTAACAGCAATTTCTCCTTTAAGACACAGGCAGTTGTATATAGAAATAATATAGTAAAAATTTTTACATGTAAAATAATTGAATGCAATATTGAGGCGATTTTTTAAACTGCGTACGTCTTTTAAAAATAAAGTATAACTTTTTGGATTGCAAAAGTAAATATGTCGTCTACTGTAATTAACACATATATTGGAAATGCAACTAAATATCGCTTGCTATACTTCTTTTATACACTATTCTCATGAAAATACGTTTAAAAGCTTCATATTTTTACCGATAATAATAATTATGTGTTATAAAGGTCTTATGATAACATTTATAATGTAACATTTTTAACACCCGCATATCTACACATAAATATCAACTCAATGCTTTATTTTGTCAGTAAGGTCATCAGAATCGTATTATGTTTTAACTATCTTTATAATTGTGTACCGTAAGACAAATAAAAGAATTTTTTTTTTCTTCTTTTTATTATTAATCAAACAAAAATATATATAACGTATGCGGATCGAGAGTACATGTTGCACTAGTAGAATTGATGATTTTTGATTTAATATTTCATATGGCTGTATCTTACTTTGGCGTATATCGAAAGACGTGATAGTGTCTCTGGCAAAGTCCAAAACTGAAAGATACTTCTACAAGTCTCTTATCCAGAGCCACCAAAGTCCATTTTTTGTGGGTACATAGCTACTAAAATATATAAAATTTTGAATCGTACGTTATACGTTATAATTCTGAGATGCGGCATGTAACTTTCGGCCGATTTTTTAATCGCCTCCATCTTCCGCAGTCCCCCTCATCACACAATAATATATTATTATTATATAAAAAGGTTTAAATTTTTGAGTATCTTTTTTTGAATATGGCTTTGACCTTTTTATTTGTATGATATGATTTTTTTCAGATACCTATTTTACTCTTATCTTTTAACACAAAAAAATTAAATTTCAATACCGTTACTATTTGTAGTTTTTACTAAAACCAACAGCTTATAGACGTTAATAACATTATTTAAACGCATATTGATAAATACCTTATCTGTAATATTTATATAAGCAGATAAAGGATTTACACACAATAAAAAAAATAAATTTTAACATTTCGAAACACAAACCTCTAAAGAAATGTTTGATCAAAATTAAAATCGTTAAATATATTTTATTATAGCTAGACGTATATGTATATTGACAGTAAATGACAATAGAAATTAATGTCCTACAATAATTGTGTAGTTTCATTAATAAGGAAAAGTATTCTCGAGAGAGCGCTTATAAAAGTATAATAATGTCTCTTTTTTATTAATGACATTTTTTCAACAAGAATCGAAGAAGTGAAAAAGTATTTCCAATATAATGCAATCAAATGTTTTACGAATGCTTGAAATACACTATTAATAAATATAATAAACGTTATAAGGCTCTATCAGTATAAAACAATGTTTATAAAAGAAGGGCAAGGAGCCATTAAACTAATTACGAAATTTAAATTTAAATGACAACAATTATACACAGAAATTTAAAATAATTTAAAGAAATTTAATATGAATATAAGTTTCGACTTCGATCGGATCATTCTCAATCACACGAGTATGATCCTATCGAGTCGAAACTTATATTTATATTAAATTTTTTTGAATTATTTTAAATTTCTGTGTACTATTGTTATTATTTAAATTTAAATTTCGTAATTGTTTTATTGGCTCTTTGAGCTCCTTCTTCTATATTATTAATAGATTTTCGGAATAAAGATTCCAATGGGTTTGATTTCTATGTTTATTATTAATTGTTAGGGATTCTAAGTATTTAAATTTGGGATTGCTGTCTTTTTAACGCACGCCCTTGCGTTCAGGTTTCCAAGCGAAGATCTAGTGTGGCGCTTGTTGTATGGCGCTGTATGTATGGTGAATGAGTAACGTCGGTCTTTTGGCGCGTCAGATTTCTCTCGTTCTTTTCAAAATGAACAACGTTTTTAGCTTGCGTACATTACGTTCAATATGTGTATACTTTATTTGTGAGAAAATATAAATTTACAACCTTGTTAAGTGTGTCATCATTGGATTAACTAAATAGCGGATACTCATATTGCATGATATCCCGTAACCGGCAAATTTAGTCGGCAACAATTAATAACATTAATAAAGTGAGTTTTGTTGCAGCATAATTCTTCTTTTTGATTTTACAGTTTGCATATGTTTTTCTAAAATGCAATGAATGACTTTGGACTGTAATTACTCTTTAAATCACGGAATGCAATAAGCAACGGTACGAGCAAGTATCTTAAATTGTGTACATCTTTCAATAATTAATATTTCTTTTACGTAGTTATATATTATAACATTTTGCATAGCAACAGTAAAACAATACGACTGTATAATACATATAGACACGTATATCGAAAATGCAATTGTGTAATTATACTAGCTAATTATATAATTTCTTTAATGCAATACGTAAGTGTCTTTAAAAGGACTCATTATACAAACCTATATAGTTAACGGCAGTAAAAGTATTATCGATGTTATTATAAAAATTATGATTTATATTTGTGCAAATTAATTATTGACCTTTTTTGATCATTTTTGACATTTATTTAACAAAACATGAATACAAACTCAATGTTCAAAGTAATCTCCCTTACTAAATACAATAAAGAAATTAATGACCAATAACATCAAAGAACTTTACAACAGTGGCATACCTGCTTTTTCTACTGAACGTAGTCATTGACAAACTATTGGTTAAGGTTTGGGGATATATTGGGCCAATTTTATGTGTATAAATTTTGCTATTAAAGATGTAGAGCATGATACATAATAATCTTTATATTATTTAAGGGGATCCTAAAGACGATTATTCATTTTTATGCAGACGATTACGTATCATTGACACATTACGACATCAATATCTCACTCCCGCACGCCATACATATACATAAACTTTTGTATAGCAATTACGTTTTAGTTCGACTTCTAAATCCAATTTTGAAAACTTCACGCTATTTCTTCATGCAAATTAAGTTTGTCTGTCGATTATTATATCGTAAATACAAATTGCACAGTTTTTAGATAAAAATTGTCACGATGTGCAACGATGTGACAGCTCTGGAGTGTCATATTGGTCTAAGCCAAGTTAAAGCAGAACTTAATTTCTAATTGTTTTGTCGTTTATTCAATTTACAGAACGTATTCATTCCTCATTTTTTTTAGATGAGTTGTTCGAATACATACCTCTCGTATAATATTCGAGTTGGCAATACTACCTCCCATTCGAACACTCCGGATACTGAAGGGATATGTACGATTGTAACAGAGTGCGTTTAACATCTCGAGGGTTTAAAATAAATAAAATTCATTGTATTATTTCAAAAAAAATTGTACGTTTATTGTAAACAAAATTAACAATCTTTTGAAATTATTATAAATCTTACAAGAGAGCGAGCAAAAGAAATTTAAATAAATGATCTAAAATTTATTAATAAATATCTTCACATATTCTAAAAGACATTATTATTTAAATAATATTCGTATAAATCCTTATTCTCTGAATAATTGTGAAATCAAAAATATATTCTCCAGTGACTTTATAAAATAACATAATAATTTAAGTAACTCATCAACAACTGATTAAAAATCTACTAACATTAAATAATAGATTTAATATTTTGTAAATAAAAAAAACGGAACAATAAATTATGACTATAATCGAATACGGCTTGAAATTACTGTATTTGTGTGAAGAGGCTCTATTGCAGAATTTTCTTATAATATAATAAAAATTAAAAATGTCGATCTCGATGAAAAACAACATTTTTTAACTTAATCAGATTTTACGAACAAAAAAAATTGATTATTTTTGCACATTTTTTTCCTAATAGAAAATTTCAAGACGAACAATATCATGTGGTTATTTTTTGCTTTTAAGTAATTTAAATGGAAGCTATATAATCAACTAAACACATTTGCCAAAATAAATAAATTTAAAATATTAATAAATTTATATTTTAAAAGTTAACAGAGATAAAAATCTAAAAAAAATGCTTATGACACTAACATTTGCGAATATTTATACCTAATGAAGAATGTATTGCAATTATTATTTTAATTTTTTTTACTTCTTAAAATTCATCATAATTTTTGTGGCATTAAAAATGAACCGATCGGAGTCGAAACATTTTTATGACTGTTTAAATTAAATAGATCGTTAATTTGACTTGGCTCTTTGCCTTCTTTATATTTATAATGTTCTAAAAAGAAAAACTAAATTTACGTATTTTAATCCGAAGAATATATTGAATAATCAGTTAAAAGATCGGCAAGGATCAGTGACGAAGGCCATCCGATTTAGCGTGATTTACACACATGTAATACGTATGTATATATAATTCTTCCATATACATATATACATAACGTAAACTTACATATAACATAACTAAAAATTAAAATTATTGTTATAACATACGACCGCAGAATCGAAATTGTAATTAACACTTAAATATTCAATAATATAAGTGTCTATTTATATCTATACGAATGACAACTAACATATCGTGTTTCAAGAAATCGAATCCATCTTTTTTT